AAAGGATTAATTATTGCTTTGTTATGTATCAATATATTGACGTTTTATAACTTTTTGGGGTTTTGGCATAAGTGTTGATGTATGATGGGGTAGTTTTTTAAACTGCAAGGGTCGTAATCGTGATTTAAATTATGCGGTTGTTATTACTGTTACCTTAATTTATTAAATTATAGTGTAAACGTTTCTTATTTACATAATTTTATCATATTTTACTGTTGTTTATTGAAAACGGTGTCTCTGAGTTAAGGGTGGTTTTTCAACCCTTTCCCGAAGGTTTAGAACTTTCTTAGGGTGATTTTCGGATTCAGCAGGTCAAAATCTATAAAAACATATACTTCTTTTACAATCCCCTTCGGGGGCAAATTTTGTCCATTTTTCAGCATCGTTCTTTAATAAATTTAACATTAATTGATAACTTAATGTTAATTATTATTACTATTTGAAACAATTATTATAATTATAATTATTATAATATTATTTAATTAAGTGAACACGGTAATAAATAAAGATAAACTGAATATTGTGTAAAGATTGATTCAAGCTTGAATCAAGAATAGATGTTCGAGCTTCACTCATAAAGATTGACCGAGTTTTGAATCGAGCATGGGACGAGCATTGGGTCCAATGTTGAACCAATATTGAACTAATATTGAGTGACAGTGATGTAAAGACTGCTTTTACTGTGCGTTACCCATACTGAGCGTTCAAGACTCAATCAAGCTTTAATTTATCGTCAGCATTGGTCTTTCGCGCCTGGGCAGTAGCTGTAGAGTCGAGGGCGAGTTTTACTTGCCAAGACAGCCTGCCCAGTCCTGAATAAGTGACTGGCCAGTTTCGCTGAATAAAAACAATTCCCATTTGTGGACAGTACTTTTGTCAAGCCACTGACCAGAAAATCTTATCATAATACTGATAAGAATTTCTTTCCAGACACTGGCCAGACACTGATTTGAAGAATTATTTAAGATTCCACCTAAAAAAACTGGCCCACCACTGATCAGAAAAACTTGCCGAATCCTATTAAAAGAATTATTCTAGATTTTTCCAAATCTCTAGCCAGAAAATCTTGACACTATCGAAAAAAGAAACTGCGGACACAGAAACTGACTAGTTACTAAAAAAGCACCAGTCCCATAAAAATACACTCTTAGTCAATCATTTATAATTAGATATTAAAAATAATTTTTATGTTCCATACTGTCAAAAACAGAAAAGTCTAAAGTAACTTTATTTAAAAGTTATGATCGTTTCACTGTCACATTACCGAAGTTTACATTTTCGTAAATTTTGACAAGATAAGCCGTCAAGTCTACAACAAGTGACTAAACAGTTTATCTGGTCATGATTTCTGATCATTACTTCTGACAAGTCACTGGCCAGAAATTCTGGTCACAATCAATGACCAGATTTAAGTGTTATTGGTAGAGTAATAATTGTTCATTAGTCTTATATATTTGAATAAACACAAAAATATAAATAGATATGTAATTATAAACAAAATAAAAAGAGCCAGGAAAAATGATATTTTATTCTAGATTTTGAGCAGAAAACTGTCCAGTTACTGGTCAGTTACTTGCCAGTCACTGGCCAGATAATCTACACGGAGAAACTTTTAATACCACTAATTCTTAAAACTGGTGAGACATTTTAGTATGTTAGGTTAGATTCAAGGGAACCTTGACATAGTTTATAGAAATTGCTATTGATACTATCAAATACACTCATTTAGTATATATTTTACAGCTCTTTATAAGGAGACTAACAAGAATTAAAATGTTTTTTTAGAAAGAAAATAATAATTTTTGCAAAGTTGGGAAAGCCATGAATTAAAAAGAAACACAACAAATTAATTGTCTATAGCAAGAAGGCGTTTTTCGTTTCGAAAAGTCGCCGGCGCGGTGCTTCTGCACATCACTCACACATTCAAATTCTTGTATACCATATGTTTTACATATGTGTATGATATGATTTTAATTTGAGGTTAACTTTAAAGTTCAATCAGTGCAATCGAGACACAATTGACAATGTGTGTCATAACGGATATATAGAATTAATGTGAGTGATTATTAAATTAAGTGTTATTCAAATAGTTAAAAATTCTGAAAACGTGCTGTGTGAAAAGTTGTAACAAGAACCGGTACCGTTGTACCGAAGTTTTACCTCCTGTCTCTAGTCTTCTTGGTCTATAGATACTCATAGAGACGATAGTGATACTTGGATCTGATGGTAGATGGCATTAGTGAATGTGTAACTGTAGGTAAATATTTTTAACGCGACGTACGAACCTAACCTATATTAATAACGCACACACGCACACGCAAGTAAAGACACGACGATTGGTCACGGAAACCGAAAGATCGCACGATTCGTTAGAAGTACACAGCTGAATCGTCCTTATATATTAAACGAGTGAAAAAATATGTACCTTCGAGAGAGAGAGAGAGCATTTTTTAAAATAACTTTCTAATCAAATTATGTAAATAAGTAAAAGTTGTGATTAAAATTATGTTATATTGAGGAACAGTTTTTGAATTTTATTTGGCATGAGGAGACATTAATGGTAAAATCGTGGGATGTCCACGCCGATGCCAATAATTGGCAACCATTATTGGCACATTATTGGCTGCCATTAAAAAACCAATAATAAAAAAAAATTTGTTTATTAAATTTTATTAAATAATAAATTTATTTATTTAATAATTATTTTATTTATTATTATTAAAAATATTAATTTTGTTAATTAATTATTTTATAGAAATGGTTATTATTTTCTATCACATCGAAATGTGAATAACCCTTTCGTTCAGAGTCTAAAAATTATTTACCTCACATCCATCAGTGCAAAAATAGGAGAGGACGGGCAGAATAAAATTCTACAAATATTCGTGAGAATGCTGCCTCCTTATATACTTTTCAAGTTTCATGTTAGTTGCGAGAGAGTTTTAAGCAACACCTCCTACGGAGCGTTGAGCGAACTACATACAATTACTTACCGACGCTGCAGAAATTATCATGTAGTAAGTATGTAGTTCGCTCAACGGCCCATAGGAGGTGTTGCTTAAAACTCTCTCGCAACTAACATGAAACTTGAAAAGTATATAAGGAGGCAGCATTCTCACGAATATTTGTAGAATTTTATTCTGCCCGTCCTCTCCTATTTTTGCACTGATGGATGTGAGGTAAATAATTTTTAGACTCTGAACGAAAGGGTTATTCACATTTCGATGTGATAGAAAATAATAACCATTTCTATAAAATAATTAATTAAAAAAATTAATAATTTTAATAATAATAAATAATAATAATAATAAATAAAATAATTATTAAATAAATAAATTTATTATTTAATAAAATTTAATAAAAAATTTTTTTTTATTATTGGTTTTTTACTGGCAGCCAATAATGTGCCAATAATGGTTTGCCAATTATTGGCATCGGCGTGGACATCCCACGATTTTACCATTAGTGGTCCATTATTGGGTGCCAATAATGGGACAATAATGGAATGGTGGCTCCCATTATTGGGCCATTAATGCGCCAATGGTTTTTTTCCCATTGGGTTCGTATCAATCTTGAAATTATTAGCACAACGCACAAAAAATCCTCACATTCTAACGTACTTTTAGAATAAAGATAACCAAATATATTTAATATTAGAAGAAAAAGTTTCTCTGTGTAACCAGTGAGTGCTAAAGCAGCGCGTTACATTTCCAATCAATCACTTGACAGATTTTCTGGTCAATCACTGGCCAGAATCTAGAAAAACTTCCCAGTGACTGGTCATTATAGAGTTGAAATTTCAACCTGGGTGTAGTTACAATACAAATGGTTCTAACATTTAATGGTAGTAATACAAGAGAATCCTGCTACATCAATACTAGTTAAATTTTACACTACTTTGCAACATTAGTACCTCCAATATAATGATTAAGAGCTATTCACAGTCATGTGGTGCAAGTACAAAAAAGAACCCGACAAATAGTATAATCGAGAAAAAGAAGAAGAGCCACAATTTTTTTGCCCTATTCGCTTAACATTTCATTAATTTATTAGCATTTGCGAACAAACAAATTCTTCATGCAAACAAACATTTTTCTCGTATTGCATCTTTTGCAAAAGTTTAGGGAAAAAAAAGAACCTTGGAAACACCTAAATGTATACATGTGTATTACAACAAAAGAAAAACCCACGTGCTCAGAACGCATCGTCTTATTTTCTATTTTCCTTTTCCTCTCTTATTATATTATTTTCTATCTCTTCACACGATCAATGGCACACATATATAATGCCAATATAGAAGAAAGTTCGTTATACATTTTTTTTCTATTATTGCCGACACAGTGGGCGCAATAGTTCTCTCTCTCTCTCTCTCACATGTATAAATATAAATCGTCGAATAGAAAAAATAGTAATTTTACGAGTAGTTTTACACCTCCGAGGGCATTATTCCCGAAGCACACATACACACAGTTGTGATCCTCATCTCTTTGGTGAGCACTAGCGAGGGGGGAGTAAAAAAAAAGTGAACGTAAATCTCGAGCAAAATCGTAAAAGTTGAGTTTTCCCATCAGGTATATATATATATATAGATGTGTGTATGTATCGAGATGAACGACAAAACGTCATTTTGACTCGTGGTCCTCTCGCCGCCACCGCCGCTCTACTACTATTACTATACCGCTCGTAAAAAGTGCAAGTCGAAGGGCGTTTTACAAGCGATCTAACTTTATTACAGGTCGCAAGATCGCGCAGCTGCTTTCACAATTGTCGGGATTACATTTATTTCTCGCGCGCTACAAAACCAAAAGCGTTTTGTGTCATTATCGAAACAGGCGAAATGCACATTAAATGCATTCACAATAAAGATATGTCATTATCTTTATTTTTTTTGCTTTTTGCCTTTTGCTTTATGCCTTTTGTTTAAAAATAGAGTAAATAATAATAATATAATCCTATAAATGGAGACGAATTTCGTAGCAATATACAAAAGGATCGTTGCGATTTTTACTGCTACCAATAAAAAAAAATAAAAAAAGAGAACAACTTGAGGTTTTCCTATAGATTGCGGCACTATTGAGTTGATGACTCACTGTGTACTGTGAAAGTCTTTTTGAAATATGATAAATCAATTTTTTTGACTGCGAGAAAATGTGTGTCATTTTTTGGGAATTTTTGGTCAAATGTATTAAAGCATTGAGATGTTTCTTTTTTATGATGGGAATCATTAATCAAGGTACGTGCCATTTGATGGAGGTTGCGGTATTTTTGGATCGAGCGTAAAATGTTGGTGTCATTGTTGGTAACGAGCTTGAAGTGTAAATATTTTTGGGATTGTAACTATACCATACTGTTAGTAACTATACCAGTTTTTGTAACAACCATTCTTCTTAATGACCACTGCTTGTAACTAACATTCTTTTTAATTACCACTGGTTGTAACTACCCGTGTAGAAATTTAATCATGGCCCAAATAGGGGCCAGATCTTTTGATCATTGTGTAGGCCATAACATGGCAATTTCTACACGGGTAACATTGTTTTTAATGACTACTGCTTGTAACTAACATTCTTTTTAATGATCACTGCTTGTAACTAACAAACTAATAAATTGTTTTTAATAACGATTGTTTGTAACTATTAGTGTTTGAAACAACCATTGTTTAGAACTAGCAGTGTTTGTAATAATTTTGTTGTTTGTAACTACTACTATACTAATTTTTGTGATTATTAGTATCTTTGTAACAACCATCATTGTAACTGTACTAACCGCACGTTTGGAACTGGCACTTTTTGTAACTACAAATGTCTTGTAACTACATAGTAATAACAATATTTGTTACTGACAATGTTTTTTACTACCAATATTGTTACAACCAACTTTTCTCATTACCACTTTTTTTTAACAATTACCACTATTTATAGTAATCCTAATTCCTTCCAAGAAAAAAACCTACTACATTATATGAAAAACAGGAGTGATCAATTTCTTCATGTTTTTATAATAATTAAAGATGGCCCAGTGATAAAATCATTATTTTATATTATAAGAATTATTGTACTCTTTTTAAAAATTATTTTCATCATTTCAATTCAATTATTATCTTTAAGAATTTTTAACCAAAATTCTACTTTTAATCAATTATTCTTAATAATTTTCGAAAAAGTTCTTTGGCAATTTTCAAATTACAATATTCAATTTTACAAAATTTCAATTATTCCTAATTTCTTCAATTAAATGCATATTAGAAAATAAAAACTTTAAATAATATAAAAAAATTCAATTAAACTTTTTAAAAAAAAATAAATTTCAAAATTCAATTATTTCTAAAAATTCACGCTAATATTGCTTTTAATATTCAATTATAATCTAAAATTTATTAACTGAAATTCATTTTTAAATCAATTTTCATTAGAAAATTCTACAAGAATAAATAAGTCAAAAAAATTTTGGACCAAATGGTCAAAAAAATTTATTTTTAAAAATTTTTATTTTTCAAAAAAGATTAAATGGCTCATTTCATTTAAAAGGTAAAATATAGTCTGCAGGAAAGTTAAAATGTGAATTTTCGATTTTGTATTTGTAATCAAGTTTTTTATATTATTTAATGTTCTAAAAAATCGAAAGGGATAGTGGTTATACCATTAGACGTATATATTTTTTTAATGGCAGACAGTTTTTTGGCAGAATATGATCACTATTGTTTGGTTTTCGTTCAACTTTATTTTTTTAAATAAATGAACTTTTTTCTCTTTTTGTGTAAATGTTAAGATGCGTTTATATAAATAAATATTAATTCTATTGCGTGGACAACAAACTTTTTTTGTTTTTATACAAAAAATGAGAGAAGATTGGTTACGGTACTTCGGGACAGTAGGGGACATTTGAAAAAGAAACAGTATATAAAAAAGAACAAATATTATATTAAGAATATCTATACTATATTCATATAAACAACTTCTTATCATATAAAAACAAGTTCCTGTTTTTTATACATTGAATTTAAAAACTCTTACCCACATAATAAGAATAAAGCTATTATACGGGACAGTAGGGGACATTTTGCTCTTTTCTTAATTCACAACATAAATATGTTAATTAGAAAGCAATGGAAGCTGTCAGATTTCTTAAAGAATTGAATCTTTTTGCTAATAATTGACTTATAAGAGATATAAAGTATTTACAGACGGGACAGTAGTGGACAACTATGTTACAACCGTTAATCAATTATTTTTCTGCTCCACTATATAATTTGTAGGATAGAGACCAGAACATTCTAATCGCTTTGATGTTTTGAGGTTATTCATTTATTATTGTAGCATCGGTAAAACAGTGAGTGTATGCGCGTAACCTACTCGTAGTGAGGGTGCAAAAATGAATTCATTTTGGCAGAATATAAATATGAAAATAAGTGACATGTTTTTAATCATTTCTTAAAATTATATTCTTGAATTTTATAGGAAATAATTAATGAATTTTAAAATATAAGATTTAGAGATTATAAAGAAGTTTTGTTTAAATCTAATACAAAAGAATGTATATATATATATATTAATTATTAAAGGCAATGTAGTGCAAGTGCCTCGAGGACAGGGACAGTAGGGGACATTTGAGGCTCCGGATCTTAAAAGGGCACACGCGCGAACACACGGCAAATAATTTGGCCCCTGGAGATAAAATTTTGAAGTTGTTCAAAATGAATTTTAAATTATTGTTTCTTATAGAGAATTTCAAGGCGAAACTTTTTTTATAATAAAAATTTTTTATATAATTTCTCGTTTTCACGTAAATTGAAAAAAACGTGATTTTTTAAGTTAAGAAATTTTAATGAATTTTTGACTTCAACTCGTGACTACTTCGTTAAATATTAATATTTTTCCACGAAATTTACACACAATATTCTTCAAACTATTCCAAGAGTGAAACAATATTTGGAAATTTAAAAAAAAATTGTATGTCAAGGTAAATAATTATTTAAATAATTTTGGCGGAAAAATGATTCTCCTATTTTCAATTGAAAAAGTTGAATGACGAATTTTCGTTTTCGGAAAACTTTCAGCGACAAAAATGTTCATTAATATGTTAGGAAGTTTTTTGGAAAATATCTCGCCATTTGATAATAAATTAAAGACAATAGAGCAATTTTAACATCGTCGCGCTCTGCTGTAAACGTAAACAATGTCTAACTATATATATACATTGGTCTTGTAATGGCGGCCATGCTACACGTGTGCCGCCACGCCGCAATTTTACAGCAGAGCACGACGATGTTAAAATTGCTCTATTGTCTTTAATTTATTATCAAATGGCGAGATATTTTCCAAAAAACTTCCTAACATATTAATGAACATTTTTGTCGCTGAAAGTTTTCCGAAAACGAAAATTCGTCACTCAACTTTTTCAATTGAAAATAGGAGAATCATTTTTCCGACAAAATTATTTAAATAATTATTTACTTTGACAAACAATTTTTTTTTAAATTTCCAAATATTGTTTCACTCTTGGAATAGTTTGAAGAATATTGTGTGTAAATTTTGTGGAAAAATATTAATATTTAACGAAGTAGTCACGAGTTGAAGTCAAAAATTCATTAAAATTTCTTAACTTAAAAAATCACGTTTTTTTCAATTTACGTGAAAACGAGAAATTATATAAAAAATTTTTATTAGAAAAAAAGTTTCGCCTTGAAATTCTCTATAAGAAACAATAATTTAAAATTCATTTTGAACAACTTCAAAATTTTATCTCCAGGGGCCAAATTATTTGCCGTGTGTTCGCGCGTGTGCCCTTTTAAGATCCGGAGCCTCATTTAGTCTGCTTTTTAGTCTGTCATTTCGTTTTAAAGCACCTCAAAGTTCTTCTATAAGTTAATAAAAAATTAGAGTATGTTATAGATATTAATCAAATAAACCAAACAATATTCATTTCCTAGCTAAAAACTTTTTTTTTTACCAAGGGACATAGATTTTACATTTTAAATGAAATGAGCCAAATATTTTATAACCCATCTGTAAATTTGTAGAAAACATGTTTATTTATCTAAAAAAAATTTACATCTTTTAAAATTTTAATATTTACTATTTTTGATTCGAGACTCGTGTTAGTCTCGTCTCGGCCTCGTTACTGAAATTCGAGACGAGACCGAGACTACACGGAGAAAAATTGTTAGCTGTATCCACAGTGAATAGTTGCTGGAGCGCAATCCAATTAATTGGATGGGGCAACTATTTCTTGGTGATACATCCAACTTTTTAGCTGCATTATCTTTGCGATAGCTGGGGTACCTTTTCGCATGGAAACAGTATCCAATAGTTGGATGTGCTAACCAATTTATTGGATCTTTGCGGACTTTGCGGAATTTTGTTTTTAAAAAAATTGACTTTCATGGACTTGAAGCAAATTTACGGACTATTTCGGGATTTACGGACCTAGTTTGAGCCTTGGAAAAATTAAAGAAATTTTTTAATATACATTTAATTACTTATTAAAAAATAATGGATTTATAAAAGAATTTAAGTTGATTTTAATTGATTTAAAAATGAATTTTAGTTACTAATTGAATATTAAAAGCATTGTAGCATGAATTTTTTGAAATAATTGAATTGAATAATAATCTGAATTTTTCATATTTTTAACCAACAATTGTGTAGAATTAATTTTTTTAAAAAAGATTAATTGTATTATTTTTTTAAATTATTTAAAGTTTTTATTTTCTAATATATATTTAATTAAAGAAATCTCCGAATAATGGAATAAATATCATATCATTATTTTTAAATATAATTTTTAAATACAATTTTTGAATACAGTTTTAAAATACAATTTTTTGTTGTAACATGAACTGTTTGTATAACTGTTATTTTCTATAATTACCATGGTCGTGGTTTATAATTATATAAAGATTTAACATAAATAATACGGTGGTTCTAAATAATAGTTATTGAAAACAATAATAATTCCAAATAATGGTATATTCCAACAATGGTAATGACAAGTAATGAAAGATCTAAACAACAGTAATTACAATAAATCATGCGGTCATTAAATACAGTAGTATGTATTAAATTTAATGACAGTGGCGCTCGATATGAGAATTAAAAACACTGCTTTTGTTTTACCATAATGATAAAATTAAAATTAATTGTAGTTTTATAATTAATTTGTATGCATATACATATAGAGATGCGTCGAACAATTGTATGTGCTGCCCGTGTAGAAAAATTGTTGGGTTCTAGT